TATATATATATATATATATATATATATGTGTGTGTGTGTGTGTGTGTGTGTGTGTGTGTGTAGTATTGTTGACATATACATATGTTGCATAAAATTGTTTATGAATGTTTTATTACAACAAATGAAACAATTACACAGGCAGATAAACAATTTGTCTTGGAATATTGAAGTGTCGTATATTGTATAAAGAGCGCTGTGATTAGTTTCGATGAACTGAAACAGACACCCTATGTATTTATGTGATTTGGTAATGCTGGTTAAGGATATCTGTTGGTTTGGTCCCAAACTGGAACGTTCGTATATATTTCGTTCCTCACTGAGTGAAAGACGCAACATCTTACACCACATCAAAGTATAAACATTAAAGACGTTTTCATTGGTGTCAGTGAAGGAACTAAGACAATTGTAAATGGAGTGACATTGTCGTTTGGAGGTAAAATTCACGATTTTTTATCCATTCAAAATGAAATAGAACATGGTGTAGCTATTGCTTCCAAGTAGGTTTCGTTTAGCAATCTGTTTGTTGTGAACAATTGAACTGCTTCCAAACCTTGTGGATATTACCGAGTGTTTTCTCTCAGTGTTAGTGTTTTCGAACAAGGTAACTGTTATAGACGAATTTTGTGTTAACGACATTTATCTGTTATGTTGGCGACGTGAATATAACTGGATTTTTTTTTTTTAAATCAGGCATGATTATATTTAACTTTTATGAGGATGTTAGAGATTGAGCGTTGTTTGACCCTCAGTGTTAGGGTTAGATTCAGTCTGCAGTCTTCAATCCACTAGTAGACCCGAGACACTTTCTATATCAACACGACACTGACCAGAGATATCGAATTCCTGCAATGGCAGCTGACCAAAACTATGGTCAACCTGGAGTACATTGGTCTCGGGCGCTGATCCCTTCAAGGTCTCCTGAACTGTATATCCAGAGGTGCTAGGATCCATCTAACAAGGTTGCATACAAACCACCGTGTTCACAATGTTCCTGCCCATACCCATCCAGTTGTCTGGTCATGTGAAGCTGGTTGAGCTTCTATTCTACCTGTGGTCAAATACCATGAACATTTTCGAACTTATTGGTTGTGAGTAA